ATATATATGAAACGCCTTAGAAGAGATTAGATATCAGAAAAATAGGGTTTTGAGAGAATTTTTCAGAGAGATCTTAGAGAGATTAGATCCTATTTGTGGGCATTATAATCTTCTTTAATATTATCAAAGAATTGTGTGGTATGGCTCCCGAGGACGTAGGCACGATTGCCAAACCTCGTTAAATCTGGTGTGTTCTTTCTTGTTTACTTTCCTATAAGTTTTTTTTATCTTTTTATTTGCTGTGATTTTTTCTACTTTCCTACTCTCAAATACAAGGTCCGGAAGGGAAAGGTTTCGATTTGATTGTTTCGAACCCCCAACAGTCCATCCCTCTTGAGAGGCTTGGTGAGCAAGTCTTGAGAAGTTTGGTGGCCAAGTCTTGAAAAAGTTTGGAGAGAAAGTTGACTAATGCTTGGAGAGCAAGATTAGCTAAAACTTGAAGGGCAAGACTTATAGGCTATTTAAAGAGAGTTGCAAGTCTTGGGAGAGACACATAAGAAGAGGTAAATAGAGCATAGCTAAGCGCTTATGAGAGTGTTCTTTGAGTACTTTGAGAATGGGTGCACAAGGGGTTACGAGTTTGTGCTAGTGAGTGATTCGATTATGATTCTCTTGTATTTTCTTTAAAAAAGCAAATAATGGATAGCTCTGGATCGTGAATGTATGCAGCTTTGACGAACCACGTAAATCCCTTAGCGTCCACTCGCTGAGTATCTTATTATTCTTCTCTTTCACTAAATTAAATTTTGCCCCAGAGTTAATTTCACACTTACTTTCACAGCGGATCTCCAGATAGAGAGAGCTTGCAGTCTCGGGGGCTCGCTCGGTGGAGAGGGACTTTATCCCCCAACAAGTTTACTTCTGACAAAAATAAAAATAAAGGAGTGAAAGTACCAGCCTTTTAATCCTTTTGACCGTACCATCCACCCGCGCGGGCCCTCGCCCAAATGATTCTACTTTTAATCCTAAGGACTGGCACGCCTTCTACTCGTCCTAGGTATGGTGACAGCTGTCATTGCACGAACACCACTCGATTCTCTTGTTTCTCCTACCTGATGACGTATCATGTGTCTCTTCCCGCCACTGCCATCACATTGAAACCTCTATCTCAGCTGTTTATGAGCACAATTTTATCAGAGATCCATTTTTGTATTTGATTAAATATTAGTGACGGTCTTTATTAGGGGTGTGCAACTGTCGGTTCGGTTCGGTTTTTATCAAAATTTGAATAACCGAACCGAACTGCCTATAATTCAAAATCAAACCGAACGGTTGCAAGTCGGTTCGGTGCGGTTCGGTTTGTTCGGTTCTAACTTCATCAAACTTCTTATCAAACAACAAATTGTATTAAAGAAAAAAAATATCAACAAAGTAGGAGATTATGAAGCATTAAACACTGATATAATGATATTGTTTTTAACTCATAATGATCTAGAAAATAAGTTTAGAGTTTGAGTCTTTGACTCTTTGGAGACGGGTCGGGTAGTGTTTGAGATCAGAATGGATAGTATTGCATTATATTCGGTCGGTTCGGATCGGTTCGGGTTGAAAAGTTTTCAAATCGACCCGAACCGCCCTACTCATAAAACAAATTTTTTCGGATCGGTACGGGTCGGTTCGATCGGTTTTTTCAGTTTGGACCGAAACATTATAGGGCCTCTCTTTTCATTTTTTTTTTTTTTTTTTTTGA